GATAAAGCATAATTTATTCTCAAGGCTAACAAGAAAACACTATCTGCCTACACATGCTTCCTGATATTCACCCACTTTAAGCTAAGATATCCCAATTCTAACATTACACATTGGACCAACAGTTAGAACATAAGTTCCTGTACACCACATATTACAAGCCTTACTTTATTTTTTGCAAGATAATAACAAACCAGATTTACACCTCTCAATATTTTTAGCTTTTTATTTTCTGAAGTTGGGGTATGCTGTTATGATGCTGCAGGAAGTTTACATAGATATAGTTCTCATTAAAACAATATATCTTGTTCTGTTTGTCAGGACAGAGATCATCAGTTAGGTATAGTATTTACTTTGAAAAAACGCAATAGGTACAGACTTCACTAACGTTTGATTCATTGGAAAACTTCGAAAAATATTTGCTTCATTCATATTCCTTTCTTTCCTCAATGAGGCAACTCAGGATAGTAGATCCTTGTAGATCCTCATTGTTGTGCTCTTGGGTTTTTTAACCCAAATGTATACCTTTTTTCCCCCTGCTAAAATCTTTAGCAGTCGTACTTTTGTGGGAAAAGAACTGCCTTAGAAGAACTGTTTATTGCCTCCCCAGCCTTCTCTTTCTCCTTACAAAAAGTAACCCAACAAGTAGTGAAGGGATGGAAGAGGAGTGGGACATGGTCCCAGGATCACTGGGCCCTTCTGAATTAATATCTCAAGAAAGAACATGCAAAATGAAGCAGTGTAAGAGCCACAGCCACAGAATGGTATGGGAGTTCAGAAAGGAAGACTTCCCAATTTCCCTCCAATTTCTATCAAACAAAGTTGTTAACAAATCTCATCTACAGTTTGCCTCTAGCCTGACGAAAGCCATGTAATACCAAAATAAAACTGGTTTTTAAAATCTCCCTTTTTAAATTTTATTCCTTTTTTATGTGTAGTAGAATCATTTCACCATTTCAGACAAATCTTACATTTACCTCCTTCATCCTACCTTCGCCTGTAAAGAATCATCTATCTGAAATTTCATTTAAGAGAATTTTGAGCAGCATGCATATTTCCAAGACAAAGTCTAGCTGTGACATTTTATAATAATGTAAGTACAATCCCAACCCCACCAATGTTTAATATTTTCTAAATAGACTGATTGTGTATTTATCTTAAAGGATTTCACAACCTTTTTTCTTTTATTACTGTCAAAATTGGAACGTTTCAAATGTCACTAATTACCTTAAGGAGTTTAAGACTAGAATAGTAAAAAAGGTCCCCACTGAAAGGCTGAGGGAGGGGTTAACAGCAAAGTGCGCTAGGAATACTCTAAAGTGTCAATAGTCAGACTTACAATGTTTTCAAAGTGGAAAGTATATTTAACATGGCAAAACATGTCCTGTAATTTAAGGTTTTTAAGGCCAGAATTGTTTCCCTATGATATTATTGGAAAGTGCACCAACAGATCATGCAGCATAAATCTGTCTTCATTGACTTAGAACTGCCAAAATTTTGTCTGGTTGTTACTACCAGTTGAAGTATGTGCTGTTCCAAGAGGGCATATAATTTTGGTTGAGGGATTATTCGTTGGTTTAAATGGGGACAACCAAACCAAAGTGAACAACTGAGCCGGAAATATTACAGGCATAAGAATTTTTTGATGGCAAGCTTTTCCACTGTAAATATAGTTTAAATACTCAGTGTAAACCATCTCATAACCAAACTGCTAGAAATTGGAACAGTCTGGCAAAACCTCATCTCCTGAGACAGAACTACAGATACTAGTCATTGTCAATGGCATGAAGAAGAATTTATTACATCTGGATGCTGACCTTTAAATAAGTGTAATGAGGGCTTTCTTTTTAAATTTGTGTGATAATCAGAATAGGCACTCATCACAAACGATCAAAAAAAGAAGACATTTAAAATATTTTAACAATAAGGCATACAATAGAAGAAGGAATTTAGGTGACTTCCAAACAACTTTAGGTTTTTGGTTCTGTGTTGTTCCACTACTAACAAAAGCCTGGTTTTCATGTATTTATTTTATAATTAAGATGCTTTTGGGTTTTTTTCTCCTGTCTGTTAAGACTTTGTTTTCACCTACCATGTAAACAAAATCAAGTGAAAATAAAAACTGAGTTAAAATGTAGGGAAAATTGTAAGGGTACCAGAAAAGATCAGGGGTGAGAAACAGAAAGGAAACTGGCTCTTGCACACAAGTATAGCTGTCAAATCTAAACATCAGGTTTGAAGCTGGAGTTTCTAAATTAGAACATTCAATTTTTTTCCTCTTCCTTCACTAAAGGAGTTAGGCCTAACAAAGCTTTCTCTGTTCATACTGAGAAGACTAAGCAGACATCGTTGCTCCTCTTTGGCATTTCAAAATCAGGACTTGAAATGGCTGCAAATATTTCTTATTTTTCCTCTGCTTACCAATTCCTGCACTAAAAGCAAGCACACCTCCAGGCCCTCATTTTTTTAATTGTAGTTTTTAGAGATTAGCCATTTTGGATTTAAAAGAGCAGACTTAAAAACTTTAGGAAAAATATGGTTATGTCTAACATTGTAAAGGTAAGGAAAGGTAAAGGTAAGGATATATAAAAAAATCCCCTTCCAGTGGCAAGAGAATGTAGAATCCAGGCTCTCTGTGTGTGTTACTTGTGCTTTTAATTTAGAATTATTCTGAATCTTTTAGTTAACTGTTTATCATAGGTGAGAGAAATTATCAGCATAATGTTACATTTGTGCTTGTTTCTATGTCAATATTGACCATCTCCAATTATTTTAACAACATGTGGAAAATGGCTTTTTCCCAGGGAAGGCAGAGGGAAGAAGCGTGTTAGTAGACTTAGTTTATCAGTTTCAAATTTTACACTAGGGCTCTCTTCCTCTGTCATATATTGAAAGAAAAGAGAAAAATCACTGACTTGGCTAACTTCAGCCAATGCTTGCTTTCTTCAGAAAGAAAAACTATGGACAAGCTAGACAAAGAATAAAAGAGGTTAGATCTCAAATAGAAACTTTTCATAGTATTTCATCACTTTAAAAAAGTACAAGTAATGCCAAGAATGATCTGACTGCAGTATTTATCTAAAAACATGATGAAAAAAGTTAGTGTGACCATTCTACTTTCTAGACGTTTTTATAGCTTGATATAGATAGATATTGATACATAGGTAGAATACACTCAACTGTTTGGGAGTGTACAGAAATAGTTTGAACACATTAAAACATTTTATCCACATGCAGTCCCTCGAATAAAATAACTTCCACTCTGAATTTCAAAATAAACTGGAATGATGATGACACAGAAAACTTGAGATGATTTTCTGCAAATGAGGTGATCATGCATTCAAAACAGTGACTTCTCTTCACTGATAGTAGTACAGAATGGAAGAAGTTCACATTACTGTCACAAGAGATCCACACTGAGCAAGAGGGATAGGGATCTCTAACAACACTAGCAAATGCAATTCAGTAATTGGACAACATAATATGCTAGTTTGAAAAATAACAAAAAAAAACCCAACCTGAAGTAAATGTTATGTGTTCAAGCAATCAAACAGTGCTCTAGTGCTGCATCATTCTCATAGCAAAAGAATCAGTTTCTTTTAGGTAAAGTACCTAAGCATTCATTAACCTATTTCCATTAATTACATTTCCAGTGAAAAAGGTATTTTATACAGATTGTTTCTTGTATTGAATTAAAATATTAGAGAGAGCTTAAATATGCTCTTTACATGTAAGACCTTTCTGGAAGTAACGGGAAAAGTTCTATTTCACAAGAAATACTAGAAAGCACTGCTACTGAAAGCTAGGTGACTGAAATAAAAAAATAGCATGGGCCAAATATATTTGAGATTAAACAAAATATTTCAATGTAGAATAATTTTGTGATATTATTTTAATTAATGGGCTCTAGTTTTTAAATGGTCTTAATTATGAAGGTAGAAAAATTTAGGTAGTTGACTAGAACTCTTTTAGCGTTGCTCAGCAAGACAAAAACCATAAAGGTAATATACCTACTCTCCCCACCCATGCTCATAAAAATACTTGATTGAACCTGGATTAAATGTGCAGATCTAATGATCAATAGCATGCATTTCACTAGGCATTCCTTATTTTCTCCCTCAAAAGCAAATCACTGATCATTTTCACAAATGCTGCTCAGTGCAGTGATGCTTGAACCATCCAGTCATTAACAAAAAAAAAAAAACCCAAAACAAAGAAAACGCACAAAAACCAAACCCTAATAAGAAAAAAACAAAACAGAACACCAAAAAGCATGGCCACTGGATGTTCCAAACCAAGATTTAAGGAAACCAGAATTTTGCCTTTCTCTTCATGACTTCCAGAACAATTGAATAGCCTTATTGACTAGTAAGGTAAGTTGGCACCTCTGATCAGAGAGGTTTCATAGAAAATAAGCAAGTCCTTTGAGGAAACAAAATTTGAAGTTCCTAAACTCCACCACATTTAAAGAAGAATATAATATGAATGGTGACATTAAAAATACTTAGACTGTGTTTATGTTGAACAAGTCCAACCCAGGCTGTCTCCACTGTGGCAGTATTACATTATCTACTTTTGAAGTTCAGCACCCAAATCTGTTCACCTACTACCTATAAGCTTCAGTGGAGAAACAGAAAAAAATCTCTGCCACTGTTATTCACGTGAACTTTTGAAGATTAGCTAATGTAACCAGGTCTTTTATTGCTATTCTTTAGTCATGCCATCAGACTTCCAGAACCAAGTTAACTTACTTCTGAGTGAAACAAGCAGTAACATTTTACAGGAATCACCTTAGGCAGGCAGGAACCTTCAATCCCTGTGTCCAGATACACTATGGAGCATATAAGTATTTTGAAATAAAAATTCAGAATCAAAAGCAGACTTTGCATGAATGTTTGCATTCAGAATATTCAGTACACAAAATTAATGCAAAAATGTCTGCAGTACTACTTTTCTAGTCTTTTTACAAAATGATAGACAAAACAATTCTGTTGGAATCTTACCTGTACCCGCTGAACATCTTCTATGCATTGATTCTCTGTTTCTAGGACAGTAGATTTCAACTCTGAATTTGAAAAGAAGATACAGATTTTAAAAGTTCTATATAAGAAGAATTCATTGATCTTTTCAAATACACATTAAGAATTTCATGAAGAGAGGGTGGAGTTAAAAGAAAACAATGCTAACTGTCCCACTTACCAAATTATCCATTGAAAATTAAACGAACAGGTATGCATAAATAAAGGCAACCTGATCTCAATTTGCAATCTATTTATGATGACTCAACATTAAATGCTGTAATCTTAAATGCATAGCACATAAAACTTGAAAGAAGTCTATTTTGTTTGTCAAAATTTCTGATTCAAATAAAAATAGTTACTTATAGCTCTATTCTATACATTCCCTAGGATGTCAAGGAAAAGTTCTCATGCTTGTTCTTTCCACCCATTCTCATTAAGAAGTATTTCTGTCCTTAAGGTCTGCAGATTGTATCTGTTCACTAAAGGCCAAAAGAACCCATGAGCAGGATGATGACTGTCGGCGGGTTTTTTTCGTATGCTGTCTTTTTCATATCTTCTTCTAGCCCTCCTCTGCCCTACATAAAAATTCGAGATTTCCACAGTAGAGTAGATAGTGATACAGATCTAAACTCACATTTTAAAAGTGTGCTTGAATGCAATCAACCTCACTACCTCACTATTGCAAATACATTTTGAGAAACTGCAATTTCACCCTAGCTTTATTATTCACTGTCTACACCATCTCAACCTTACAAAGGGATGGTTTGGGACTGTACACTTACTGTGAAGTGTACAGTCAGAGCTTCCCAGAACTGGGGATGTTCAAGCTGAGGACACAAAAATAATTCTTCACCTTAGTACTGAATTCCACACCCTGCCTTTTGGGCACAGAAACAGCATTAATTTGACATTTTGAATTTTGACCAAGTTACTCATTTACATTGAAAAATGAAACAGCAGTATGTCATTCTAGCAGTACCTTCTTCAATTATTTTCTACTTTGGAATAACTAATTAATATCTAAACATTCCTTCATTTAGTTACTGTCTTTAAATGGAGAGAAAAAAATTATTTTTCCCAGAATGAGGGTTTTAAATGGGACTACAGATCTCCAACTATCACTGTGACAATGAAAAATAAAATAGCAGTGGGACTAAGAAATTTTATCTGTGCATTTTATCTGGAAAATGGGCATCAAAACATAACACCACTCCCTAACTGGAATCCCTTTCTTATTTGAAAACATAGATAACAATTATTTGTTCTGCAAATACTAGTCTTTGAGATCTCTGTTTTCATGAAAACATTTCAATTTAAACCAAACCTAAGTACAAAAGAAATTACATGAAAGCCTTCATTGTAAAAAGCCTAATATTTATTTCAGTGAGAGACATGTACTGTACATTCCTGCATTGTTTCTACAGTGCTGTATTTTGATTGCCTGCTGGATAAAAAAAATAACAGATTTAGTGCTGGAAATTACACGAGCATGTAACAACTCAACACAAGTTCAGGACCCTCAAGTTTTTCAGTAAGCCACTGCAGAGAATAACAAAGACTTATTTTTGTTTGTGGAAGAGAGAGATTCTTGTAGTTAAAGCAAGGGCTTGAATTAAAAGCTCTCATTTCGACTCTGACCTTTCTACAGATTTGTTCTCTGACCTTAAAGAACCTCTCTGTGCCTCAGTTTCCTTGCCTGATAGGAGATAGCAAGAAAAAAGAAAAAAAAAAATGCCTAAACAAAAAACCACCCAGCAGCTACACAGTGCGAAGATCTCTAACCAGCTTAGTAGCTACTGTTAATGATGCCTCTTTAACTGGTCAGAGTCTAATTCTGAACACAGGACAAGAAACCAAAATATTTTTCTTATACCTGCCCAGAGAACATGTGCATCTCACATCCTCCTTATATCTTTTAAGGGTACCACTCTACAGCACTATACAAATCTATTGACCAGAAGAGTGAAGCAGTTGTGGTCCAGAACCTCTGGACTCATAATTCCTAGACGTTTGGCCTCCTCACAGCTTTCTGACAATCCTAGCTGTTGGGAGGCAAGACATACAAGGGGGAAATTTCATTGCCAGTAGCAGTTATGCTGCAAGGCTACCCCTCAAAAAGAAACAATCATCAACTTTTTTTACTTTTTTAATTGTTTACTAAAACAGCATTTCAAGTCTCATCTGACAGAATTGTTCCTAGTCATGAAAAGCTAGATGAGGATAGGCTGTCATTAACAGGAAATAACTCATCATCTCTCAGTTTGACAAGCTTTTAGTATGGGTAAATCATGCCTTGTTGCTGAATTTCAGATAAGTCCATTCACTGCAGAAAATTCAGGATGCTACTAATTTACTGAACACTCACTCCCTACTGCAACCAAAAGAACCCCACCAAACCCAGTGAATTATTATTTTCCCATAAAAGCTATTAATGTCTCTTCTGAAGAAAGGGAAGAGTGTTAGCATTTTTAAACTAATCACTTGTAAGATATTTGTTTTACAAATTATCTGGAACAGAAATTTTTGGCTAACCTTACCACAACTGATTTGCAAAACCAGGAAAATTCACTAGTATTTGGGCATTGGTGATCTCCCCAGGGCCTGCGTACGTGATCTTGGATTTCTGTATGGTTGAGAGAAACTCTAAGATTAATTTAATCTTTGCTGCACCAGGTTTTATTCTTTGTCAGCATTCTAGTACTGGACAATCCTTGTACACATACAACTTAGTAATGTTTCCTATTATGTAAATTGGCACAAACTACCTCCCTTACTCAAAAGTTCTTTAAAAAGTAGCCACAGGCTGCTCCTATATATTTAACTATTTGAATTGTCTAGCTTATTTTTACCTCAGACAGGTTTTGTTCTAAAAAGGGTTCATGGTGATATGAGCAGTTAATTTTAAAGTTAGTTTCCCAAAATTCACTAAATACAATCTATTTGCACCAAACTAACAGTGTTTTTTCTTTTTAAGCAAAATTAAAAAAATCCCAAACCAAACTCCACCACCACAAAAAAAAAATTGTCAAGGAAAGGAAAAAAATGCTATATGATGAACGAAACATTTCCTTTAAACCAAACCAAACATTATTTTTCTTTTTCATTTTTCATAAAACAAAGGAAATAAATGTCTGGACAAGCCCAGTTTTGTTAAAGAGACTAACTTATATTTTGGGATGTAAACCCACACAGACAGTTAATGTGTTTGGACTGTTCCATTCTACAAGAGAAGTTGTATAAACTTCCAGTCTCTGCCCAGGTGATTAGAGAACCACATGGGAGACAGGGTGACTGGGCTCTAGTGCCTGCATACTTGCATTTTCCTATATGTTAAGTGGAATAGTATCATCAGCAAAGGATTAAAGTAATTGAATTTCAGATACCCTGTTGTGTTTAGATTCAGGCAATGTGCTGGAGTGTGAGAGTGGTAGAGTCAAATACCATAAGAAGTGACAGAAACAGAATTTGGGTGTTCAGAGAGAAAATTAGTGGCATATACATTGATCTTATTGGTGATATTGACTCATTTTGTCCCAAAACTTTTCTGAATCCAGAACTGAAAAATGGTTTTGGCATAAGTACCTGCTGACTTGAACCCAAATTCATATTAGGTACTTCCAAACTTCAGTTTTTAAATAAATAGCCAACCTAAAAAAAAAAAAAACAAAAAAAAAAAAAAAAAAAAAAAAAAAAAAAAAAAAGCAACAAACTAAAAGAAACCCCAACCAACCTGACCAAATCCCCCCCAATAGCCTTTTCCTCACAGCAATAACACCACACACATCACACAAAGGACACAGCAAAACTATTTAATATATACTATATTAAAGAGATTAATAACTACTTTGCTAATTTAGGAACAGATTACCTAAGACCTTGCAGAATTTCCCCTTGCCTTAAAACTTGAAGGCCTAGTAACATCCTCATGCTAACTGTTATAATAAAAATAAAGACTCTACATATGAAAGTAACCTGGTGCATTCCCTTGTGGATCAACACTTCTGTCTAAAATGTGTTTCATTTTATAAACCATTGTTTCTAATGTTAATATTGTATCTGTTTAATCCATACAGCAGTAATTATATACAATGCAAAATACAGCTACTCTATGCACAGTAGTTTAAACCCTTTTAAAAATGCTTGCCCCCTTCACCTTTCAAAGGCATATATACCAAAAATAATTTAGTTACTAATCTTGGGGAAGGTGTTTATCCTTCAGGCTTCACATGAAACATCACTCACCTCCAGGTTCTTCCACATGGCAAGCATGTGAACAATCAAAAAAAAAAAAAAAAAAAAGTTAAATTATTTATCTACCTGAATTGTATTCAGAACAATTATAATTTTTCCTTTTCCCTCCATGCTCTGCAGTGCAAATTCACACTAAACCCCAAAATTTCATTAATTTTAAGTGTCAGCACCTCAAGTAAATTTTGAGAACTATTTATGTTCCATTTAGAAATAGTCTCAATGCACAATTTTCCATTTTACTTCTATTTTCTTAATATTTTCGCAGGTTTTGAGAGGGCAGTGGCTGAGATAAGGAATAGACAAGTACTGTACACATTACATCCATGTAGTAGGTATATTATTAAATAAACAACATAGAGTTGAAACCAAACATGTATAAAATTAATAAATTTAAAAATTATCACTATTATCCTCTAGTAGAAATACTCTTCCAAATTGGTAAAAATGGTGAAAATCTTTACTCTTCAAAATATTTTATGTAATCAATGTTCTTCTAGATTTTAGAGCAACAAAACTGTTGTTAACTTGCACCAGCCTCTGCTGAGCTAAACCTCAAAATAAAATAATATTCACCCTTTTGTTTTTCCAGTGCAGAGTATGTTCATAAATATCCTGATCACACATCCATTAGCTAAGTCTCCAAGTTGAGAAACCCAACCTCTCCTCTCAGACTACATGGCAATGAATTCTACTACCACATATGACAGCACTTTCCTTGAATATAGCATAAAAACTAGACTAGTCCAACAGCGTTCCACACTCTGAATTGCATCAGTGAGATGGATGCAGTAATATTTCCTTGACCACTAATAGAGCTGCTTTGGTAAAAGTCACAGCATAAAAAGAATAGTATAGCAGTACTGCATTTTTGTTGGCATCACTTATTCTGGTTGTGAACATTGGAATAACTGATGCCAGTAAAAGTGAAGTGTTGCCATGATAAATGGTGTCCACGCAAGGAATACTTTGCTCATGTTCCAGAGAAAGTGGTAGAGAAGGCCCAAAGAGAAGCAAATCTGAAATTAACTCCACTCAAAGCCTACAAGCAATACAAAGAGATCTGTTGAAATAATACCTTCATTCTTCAAATCTGAGCAATGAAAAAAAGGAGTGGTAGGAAACGGAAAATCTGAAAATACACAGTGGCTCTCCATGGAGATCATGGGGATGAATGCAGCCTAAGAGTGTTGAGAGCTACTGAATACTAACGCAAAGCTAAGCCTCCAAGAACCTGAGGTTTTTGCCCATCAACACTACTAACAGAAGAGAGTCTGAATTTCCCTTCTAAATTTCTTTGTCAGTTATGAGAGGTTTTATTTTTTTTAATTCTCAGCTTAAACAAAGCTTTTAATGAGTATGCCAAAGATTTCAGAAAGTTGGCTGGTACAGAAACCTCACAAATTTTAAGATAAACTGACTTTATAAACAAGATGTCAATTTATTTTTCACATACACTTTTTCTACCTCTCTGTCAGCAGGGGACTGCTGAATCCACAAAGGAATACCTTACATCACTCTAATAACTTTCAGTATACCACCAGTGGGCTTCTGAAGTTTTCCATATTTTTAAGAAGAGAAAAGTACCCATATTTCATGGCTCTGAAGGTATGTAAACTGAAAAGAGCAAAGGTCACAACACCTGGTAAAATCTATTAGTCAGCAGATGCCAGCTGCACATCTTGGTTGTTAACAAAAAGCATGCATTGTTGCCGAATATTTTTAATGAGATTTACACTAGCTAACATTATTTCTGATGCTAATCCAAGATCTTCAAAATCAAGTATTAGAAGTTAAGATATTAAGGTTACATCTTGGATTCTATAGGACAACAGCTCCCACCCATGCCATACATATATCTTGTTTGTGTCCAAGAACTATACCTTCTTTTGTAATTTTGAGTCTTTGTTCTTCATCTGGAGGTTTGGGTGGGGGCCACACAGATGGAATTCTCCTTGGAAAGCTTCCTTCGATGTAATCTGACGAATGTGTGGGTTGGCTAACTGCAGCCCAGGTATAAAGCTGGTCTTGCTGTGGTAAATTAAAAAATAAATAAATAAATAAATAAATAAAAAGTGGAGAAGTTAATATAGAAAGAGAAGCTCAAAATATCAAAGCTTTTGTTTCCAACACAAATAGCTCAATACCCACCCCTATAGCAAGGCAGACTTGTTTTTATGCTCTTCATCTCCTGACAAAGACTTAAACATAACAAATATATATTGAAAGAATTTAATGTTTCAGTTTTGGAATTATCTCTACTAACAATAGAAAATCCAAACTTTTAACTATTTACAGCACAATGAGATGCTAGAATACAGTTCAGCACTTTTTTTTTGAGCATGAGGAACTCTTTGCCACTTCTTTCCTTAGAGAGATAACCAGTTCTGTCCCTCATGACTGTACTTCTATACATATGGCTGGTTTATAGGTTAGAGAAAAATATTTCAGTCCATGCACTATGTGATCTTTTTACACCAAATGCACAAGAAAGGAAAAGAAGCAGGGTTATTTCAGCATAAATTAAACTGAGATATTTATTCTTTTCAGCCCTGTTTTTGTCATTTACATTTTCATATTCATAGACAGGGAGCTAAAACTGTGGGTTTGCTTTCAGAATAAAATTAAAAAAAAAACCCCAACAGCTAAAAGTGTTCTCAAACCTCTAGGCTCCAATCAGATTATATCCTTATTATGCAATAGCTTTGAGTTTGATTCACTTATTAAAAGTAGGAGACATCCAGATGCTCTGATGAAAACTAGGGCAAACTTATGCTTTAAACCAACAGAAAGATTTCAGCTGACCACAATTCAAGTAGTTATGCTTGTGACTCCCTGTATGAATCAACATGCACCCCTTGTGATTAAATCTTTCTAATACTCTAAAGTCTATAGAGATCAATCACAGCAACTTCATGAGTATCCTAGTAAGTGACTGGGAAATGTGCAAATATTGTAGCACAAAACTGGGGAAAAAAAATCAAGTCACAGGATGAAAATATGGTCATATCACACATTAATATCGTTACAAATATCACGTTCATTACACTTCATTTATGCTATTGCCTGAGTAAAACATTGGCAATATATATTTGTCCTGATGCATATTTCATTTTTAGATTAAAACTTTTTTCCCCCCCTCAACAGATATTAAACATTGAAGAGACATGCAGAGGAAAGAACAAAATAATTCAACACTTTTGGGGGGATAATCAGTATTTTATGTGACTATACTTCCACTTGCCTAAAAATAAGTTGTGATAAGAGCAATAATATTCTATTGAGAACAACTTAGAACAGACAAATGCTTGTTATAAAGCAGAAAGTTTTGGTTTACAGAGGGTGTCTCAAACAGTCAGGGTCAAAGGAAGCTCATTGGACCTTTCCAGCATGAAAAACATGGCAAAAACCCAGTCACAGAGACAGACCCTTCAATAAAGGCAAAAATAAATGGATAAAAACCTTAAAATGAAATCACATCAGGTTCTTTATGTAGTTCTGTGAAGGAACTCAATGTTCATTGAAAAGTCTAACCTTTTCCCATTACTATGCTACTGCATTTGAACATCCAAACAGGCTTGATTAATGCAGTTCTTTCACTAACTTAGTATTTTGCCTTTATCTAATTCCAGCTTTTTAGAGGATATGTTAGAGGATATTTTTGGGTTTCTGACTGATTTCCAGTACTGTACATAACTGTGTAAAGAAAGAGAAAAGGTTCTGGATTTTGCTTTTTGTCTTGTTTCTTCAACATCCAAATCTCAAAAACACAGAGAAAAATAAGATTAAAAAAAGTCACCAAGGAAAACAAGAACAATTTTTTTTGCCCACTCTGCTAACTTACATAGTCCATGGAACATAAGGAAGAACAAGCTCTACAGAGGGGTAGCTGGGTAAGCACAGTAGACTTTCAATGGGATTACATGTAGGGTTATAGGGCAATAAACCAGAAGACAACAGACTGTAGAATTTCACCATGCCAGTTCTTGAAAGATACAGCATAATGTCAAAAACAAATTTTTGAAGTACAATTAGTGTACATGAATTAAGATGTATTAAAAAAACCCCATGGTATGTCTCAAAATTATTGTACAGATGGGATACAATATGAGGGTAATAAAATATGAAGTACCTATGTTCTTGCTGATAGAATTTACAGCATATGAACTCTGAACAGTTATAAATTAAGACATCACCGACTCCATAACCAACTCCTGACCCAGCATAGGAGATTTGATTGCGAGTATAAAAGACAGTATTTTTTGGTTTGTGTTAGTTTTTATTTTGGGATTCTTTTCATTCACTATTCAGCATAGAGAAGGACTCACCATGTAATACAAATTTACAGAGGTAAATGTAAACTTGCAAAAATGCCTTGAAGGAACTTGCACTATAACCAAAATGTATCCATGTTCAACATATAAACAAGGTATTTAACAACAGCTACATTCAGATTACTTGCAAACTTATAAAAAAAAAAATTTGAAATATGAAACCCCCTCATGACAGAAAGGCAGTCTGAAGGTCTGGACTTCAAGTTGATAGTCCATGAACTACACTTAAAATGGGAAAAGATTAACCCTGTCTCCACTTTTGTGCCCTTCAAAAGAGATTAATCATCTGAATGCCCTAATTCCTACTCACTCAAGATACTGTCCAAAATCTAATCCTTTTTACCTTTTGTCTTTAGCTCATTGTCAGTTAATATATAACCCACCTCATTTCTCCTTCTCCAAATCTGATAATGCCATAAATTTGCATGATTGTTGGAACATTTTGAAGAAAGATATATGCAGCTAATTCTATGATGTTGAAGTACTATTCAAAACAAATAAAATAATCCAAATAAAAAAATCCAGATTTGCTTTTATCATTAATAATTTTAATACAAGCATCCATGAACCTGGATTTCTACATCCAACTTTTCTCCTTTAATCTTTTCATTTCAGAGGCAATTTTTACCAGATATCATCTTAAGTACAGCTGGTGAATACTCTTACCGTGATCAAGCTTTGAATACATCTGGAATTTCCATTTCATCTTGCTCAGATTCCACTATTTAGTGTTTAAAGAGCTTCTTTTTTGTGAAAAAAAAAAAAAAAATTATATATATCCTTGTAATGAATGATCCCAGGCTTATTTATTCAGACTCATTCCTGGGCTGAAAGCTTAAAGCTATTTGAGTCCAGTGCACTAAACACAGTGTCAAGAAGAGTTCTCATTCCCACACATCCTTGCACAGCACTTTCCACTGGTTCTTAAAACTGCAGAGCATTTGCACATGGGCAAGGAAAATTGCCTGCAGGATCTGGTGTTACCTAATCAATAGACATTTTACCACTTATAGATGCTAGCATTTATAATAGAGTCACAGAGAGTCAGGTCTGCAGTTTAACTCACTCTCTTCCTAGCCAGCTCTCAGTAGGCACAAAGAATGGCTTTTTGTAACACATTTTCATTCTTGGGTACCACAGTGTTACATTTCAGGTACATAATGTATTAAATATTAGTTGTGCTCCTTCACTTCTTGAGCTAAAGATATGATTTCCTTCTCATCTTTAAAGATGGAAGCCAATGCTGTAAGCTACTCATAGTAAGGGCCTCTAGCAAATGACATTTAGAAAGAGGCTGGTGGACCCAGAATGAGGGCCATGAACTAGACCCACAGCCAACATCAGAAGGCATACTGGTGGACCTTGAGCTTTCAAAAAAGGGGTCCCCATTTTTCACACTGAGATACCAGATATGTTCCCCGGGCCACAGAATGAATTAGAGATTAGTATATCCTTCACTGTAGGAATATCACATGCAACATTGAACCCATGCTTTTAGCAGCTGTGTTGATCCTGGAGACATGCAGGTAATACAACCTTTTGTTCAAAGCCACTTTGGTTTTTAATCAACTGTTTATCTGCTTCCAGTTCAAAGGGCAAATATAGCCATTGTGAGAAATGCTTAAAAGAGGTATGAGAGATAGAGGTGAAACAGCAATAAAGGTATACACATCTGTCCAAACTGATTACAAAAACATGAATTAGCAATGGGAGAATCCAGGAGGAAAAAAATCTGACAAGAAGTATTTTGACAATCCTAAAGGAAAAAAAAAATCATTCAGTCAGATCATGCATGGTGAGATGGGAAAGGTGGGGCACACTGATATAAGGAGTAGCCTCTGCTCTTCAGCTCAGCACAGCAGTAGACGGAGGAAACACATTAGCAGTATGTCTAAACTTTCTTATGATAGAGTGAATTGGTACTAACTTCTCTGATAGCTCCTGTATTAAACCATGATAGAATCAGGCCTTATCTTGCAGGGCATTTATTTTCAAATAGTAAACTTGAACAATTTTTCACTAGAACCCTAAACATTGAAAGTTATCCTGAAGAAAGGAGGACGCCAGGGTTGGCATGTCCACAGAACAGGTATAAATGGTCCAGGAGTAAACAGAGTGGTAGTTACAAGAAGGTTCCAACTTATTGAATCAGTCTGGATGCAGACAGCCTTCCAACGGGAAGAAGAAAAAGTATAACTGCATTTAAGATGAAACTAGATACACTTGTAGAGGAATTACATTATTTTATGGTACTTGAGGTAAGGAGGGGCCAGACTCCACGACTCAGAAGGTGTTTTCCAGGTTAAAAGCTCCAATGAGCTTGTTCCACATTTGTATATAACTGCTTGTCATTTAGACTGTTTCAAGTGCATGGAAGGAATTTTTTTTTCCATTTTCTTCCATTTCTGTTTAATCATTCTAATATACTAAGTATACAAGCTCTAAAATGAAAGAAAGTCAATTGCATGTTCTCATTGCATATAAATAGTTAATTGGAGAAGCAAGGTTTTAGCTCCAGAAATTAGAGCTGGACTACCTCAGAATGCCCTTATCAGCAGGAGACTGCTTTATTTTAAGCAGTTTTTAAAATAAAGAAATCAATACTATCAAGAATGGGAAAGTGGTTTACTTTTTGAGAAGTTCACTAACAAAACTCTGTCTGACCACTGACAGAACCGGAGCAGTGATTAAACATGG